GAAGGATTTTAGCAAAACAAACTCACAGGACAAATGCATCTGACATAGATAACACTTTTTAAAAAATAATTTAAAATATACATGTCTTAGTATTATGCAGAGAGGTATCTACACAAAAGACACTTCAACTACTACTTAAATAGGTTTTCCTATTTTACTCTGTTTGCCAGTCATTTATCAGAAAACACCTGTTGAGTACTATGGCCACTGATGCCTCTGAGTTACATCTAACTAAGCCAACAAAAGTCAACATACTTTTACTTCGGAAGGTTACTCTATAAAATAATCACCTACCATTGCTCTAAAACAATTTTCATATCACAAAATGAGGGGGGAAAAAAACTCAGGTTAAGAAATAAGTGTAATGAGAGTATATCATGAGACAGACTCCATAAAAAATCACAGAGATGTTTTACAATGCACTGAAACACCAGACAATGGAAAACCTAACACTAAATGCTTAGTGTATTCAAGTGCCTTGAGACACCTGAGAAAGAACAGAAACCTGAATCACAATCCTAGAAACAAAAAACAGACTGGATTCCATTATATAGTTTCAACCTATTTGGTTTATAGCATTCAGGAATCCCTGGATTACACAAAAACAGTGAAACAGAATTGGATCATGTTAAAAGAATTGTTCCTAAAGAGTACAGTTTCTTAAAAGGGAAAATATTACATAAAATACTAAAAGCATATGCAAACCAGGAAAGATGCTCCACTACCAAACTATCCAAAGCTTTAACAATTTAACATTTACACCTGTGTGATCTGTATGAAGCAGAACACTACCAGTTTGGGATCGTGAGATCCAGGCACAAAAATGAAATCCTGGATTTATGGATTTAAAGTTTCAACCACAAACAGTACTGTAATTTCAATCAAAAATTTAGAAGCTCTCCACTTGACAAAAATCAGTAGTCTCAACACAATGGATACATGTATACTTAAAATTAAGCAACTCAGGGATTTTTATCTGTAGTTTAGTCTAGTGCAGAAAGCACATTTGTGTTCACCTACTTTAGAAAACACACTAGAAACTGTTAAATATGCTGTTACTGAAAACTGTATTCCACACTGAAGAGATATTGTATTTAAAGGTTGAAGCTAAACAAAAAGGGGTGAAAGAAACCCAAATCCTGCAAAAGGATCTAATCTGTTTTCCGTGGAGCTAAACTCAATTTCACTAACTCTTTCTGACGGGCATTGCTCTGAAATTATCATATAATCAAAGGACTGGCAATCATTCTCTGCAAGAACTGTAAGCTTCTGAAATTATTAGCACAGATTACTGTATTCACTTGTTGGCCCAGAAGTTAATAACATACAGTTAGACATGTTACTCTGTCTCAGAGTTGGAATGCTCACAGAATGGACAACTCAGCATCTTTCAGCGTGCTACACATGCACAGACAGTAATTCTGGACCAGTTATAATAAACCCACAAATACAGCAAATCTCAACACAAGGCACTAAAACAGCATCAAGAAGCATTAGCAAGCTTTAACTCTTCTAAAACTCCCTTATTCTAAATGATGAAGGTAAAAAAACTAGTTTTCCATGTAACAGGTGCCAACACCTCAATACTCAAACAATTCAAGTCATCCACTAAGACTTGAGTCGCTCCTAAAATGAGTACACTTTTTCTTTGTATACAGGCTTTACCAAACACATTAAGACAACTCTGCTAAGCAAGAAATTGCAAAGACTGTACTGCCATGAACTCAGAAAATAAACTGAAGGAAGAAAACACAAGACAAGAGACAAACCATTTTAGTGAGCCGGAATACCAGCACTGTCAGGGTCAGCTAGTCAACATATTTTACCCATCATGTATTCATTAAGCCTCTGCTCTGAGAAAGATCAGTATCATACCCAGTCAAGAATGCAAACATTTGGTCCTTTCCTAATACTGAGCCAACCTGTGCTAAGCACAATCAAATAATTTTCAAAGAAAAGACAGACAGACACCAATGTAAATCAACTGATCTCCCAGAGTAGCTTTGTACTTACTTTGTTTTCCATACCAACCTGCATACTCACTGTTCTAGCTGCACAACACAGGATCACAGTAACAAATCTATTCTACTGAAGTCTTCCAATACAGGAAAAAATCTTGACAGAAAAGTTGCAGACATGGTTTACATTAATGGGGCAACATAAAATTTAAATGTTTTTTACCCTTAAATTTGGCCCTGATGACACAAAATATTTTCCTAGAAAATCTGGTTTCATGTTCTAGTAGTGTTCTGAAATGACCATAAAGAAATAAACAACTCAATTCTTTAAGTTCTAATGTTAGCTATAGAAATATACTGAGGGAGTTTCTTTTGCTGGGGTTTTTTTGGGTTTTTTTTTTTTTTTTCAGCCGACAAGTTACTGGCCCACCTATCTCAACTGTACAAAACATTTGCTGATCACAGGTGCATTTGAACAGATGTGCAACTTGCCTGGTATTTGAGATTAACCTATTTTCAAGGCCAGTTCTAGAAACATTGCATCTACTGTTGATGCTTTGATGCTTATTACTATCAACAGCTCACTTTTGCAGTTAAAGAGAAAAAGCCAGTATTAGTCACACTACAGGGACAGCGCATTTTTAGTGCTGTTACACTGCCTGGGACTTCAATCCAATGGTCAACCCAGCAGGGCAATCTTACTTCACAAGAACCAATTTATAACTGCAGACCTAATATTTTAACAACAGTTCCAAGAGAGACAACACTCACAGTTTAAGATACCTGTAGACAACAAAGACATCTGAAGCAGTGTCCTCTGTTAATTCCCTAAAGTTGCATAACTGCTTTCAGTAAAAATTCATGCTCTTGACAGGCTGTACAACCATTTCAGTTTATGACTACTGTTTATTTGAAAACATGGCAGCTCCACCAGTATTCAAATATGAAACAAACTGTTAAAAGTCAAATGCATTACAAAATTCACAGCCAGAGTAAATCTGTTTATTATTTCCAAAGGATCCAACTAACGGCTGACTGCTTTACAGGACAAACACAATCCTCAGGTTAGATTCAGTTTATGAATCTCTCTTTTGAAATATCCTAACAAAACAAAAGCCCCAAAACTGCAAAGACTTTTACAAAAACTGCATTGAAGCTGCTCACAAATCTATGGAGAACAGAGAAATGAAAAGCACCCCTTTCAGACTGAGATTGCTGGGAAAGCAGTGGACAACATTAAAAAGCAAACACAGACATTTTACTTTCGGGAGAAATGCCTACATCGAGCTTGCAGAGAGAGTAACTCACAGCACACAACATTGCAGCTGCCAAAAGACTAGATAAGAAAAGAAAGCGGCTTCAATGCATTGGCAGGTGGAGAAAACCACAATGAAACTCAGGTCTGGGACACTTCTAGCCCAAACACTTATGTAAGAAAGGAAAAAAAAACCAAACAAACAAACAAAAAAACCCACAAAACGAAACTGAATGTAGATTAGACTTAAGGACAAAAAAAACCTGAAAGAAATACTAGCATTTTCTCTATTCACAGCAGCTAGGTGAAACAAAAGTCTGACAGTCTAGTTGAAGTGCTAGCACTACATTTGAAGTTTCAGAGCCTTTACTTCACCTTTTGTATCTCTTCTATTAACCTGACAGTGTCCTTCAGCTCACACTTAAGGAATGATGTCAAGTTCTGCATCTAGACGTTAGTGGTGCTTTCAGACATGTAATCTTTTTTTGATGAGGTCTGCAATACCAATAACACATAAAAAATGTGGAATAGCACAAAATTGCCATATTTAGAGCCATTTCAAGGAGAAAACTGGGAAATCCTATGGAAAATGAAAGAAGTTCTGAATTGAGCGATGTCTATGTGCTTTATAGGCAGGACACTGCATTTTTACATTTTGATAGCACCTTTGCTATGATTTGCTGCTTTCTAATTTAAATAAATGAAATTTTAGTCAATACTTGCACAGCAAACCTTCTACAAAACTAGAAGACTTGCAGGAAACAGAGCAGATGAATCAGCAGGTGTCACTAGTTTGAGAGAGAGGAAGCTGTGGCACAGGCTTTCACAGGGAGGCACAAAATCCCCAATAACTTGGTTATCTGACATAACCATGCCATGCTAAGTACCATACCCATAACTAGCACATCAAAGTACAGGAGACTGCAGATTTTACACACACATTGCAAGGCTACAACTTCCCAAAGTTGAAGGCTGACCCACTGTTTCTAAAGACAGTGTTAGATCAAAATAAACAGTGGAAACAGAGAGATACAAGTGACTGCATATGTTTTCTACAGTCATGTTAGCCAGCCAGTGAGACAACTACCACCAAAACCAGTCAGCTCAACAGGACAACTCACAGCTAGAAAATGAGAGAAGGTTTTGGGGTGACCTAATTGTGGTCTTCCAGTACCTGAAGGGAACTTGCAGGAAGGATGAGGCAAGACTGTTTGCAAGAACGTGTGCTGACAGAACAAGGGGCAATAGCTTCATAGTGAAAGAGAGTGGGTTTAGATTAGCAATTACGAAAAAATTCTTTACTGTGGGGGTGGTGAGGCACTGGAACAGGCTGCCCAGAGAAGCTGTGGATGGCCCATCCCTCGAAGTGTTCCAAGCCAGGTTAAACGGGGATTTGAGCAACCTGGTCCAGCTGAAGGTGTCCCTGCCTACGACAGGGGAGCTGGGAGATTGTTGATGTGACTTCACGAATGAGCTACATGCCCCTTCCGAGCCGGCCCTCGGCAGCGCAGCAGAGAAGTCGGTGAGGAGGGTACGAGGCGGCACATTTCTCCACTACCCCCTCCCAGCAGTCCTCTCCTGGGCCGGGATCGGTGCCGGTGCTCGCCCAACAGCGCCCGGCGCGACCCGGGCGAGCAAAAGCTGCTTTGTCACCGGGCAGGGCCCTCGCCCTGCGCTGCCGGAGGCGGGAGCCGCGAGCCGGCGCTCCCCTGCCGGGCGGCGCTACGCTCGGCCCCGGCCCCAGCGCGGCCCCGCCAGCCCCCTCAGCCTGCTCGGCCGCCCCTCACCTGCCGGATGCTGCTGGTCTCGGAAACGGCGAACTCCTCCTTCTCCTTGGGAGTCTTCACCGTAACTTTGATGATCCGCGGCTCGGAGACACCGGCGGAGTCGCGGGTAGGGGAGCCGGGGGAGCCGGGGGAGCCAGAGGGGCCCCCCGCGGGCCCCTCCGCTCTGTCCGACATTGCCGTGTGCGGGCGGGCCGGGGCAGGGCAGGGCCGGGCAGGGCGTGGGGCAGGGCAGGGTCGGGTCGGGCAGGGCCGGGCAGGGCAGGGCAGGGCAGGGCAGGGCAGGACAGGACAGGAGGCCTGGCTGCTGGCTGTCGGCTCCCGGCGGCTCCAGCCGAGCGCTCGTGCCGCGCCGCGCCCGCGACACCGGAAACGGCTCGGCCCGGCCGCCGCGCGCCGTGATGACGCAGCGCAACGGGGAAGGTACTAGAAAGGGGCACCGCCCGTGCGCGCGGCCGGCCCCGCGCGCGCCGCCGAGGGCCGAGTGTGGCGGCGGGGCGTGGGCCCGGTCCCGGTCCGCGTGACCCGAGCGGAGCCTGCCCGCCGCCCTTGTGGCTTTGGGCTGTCCCGTCCCTGCCCTTCGGCCATGGCCTGCCTCCACGGACCTCCCTCTGTGAGGCACCTCTGGAGTGCCGTGTCCCGTTCTGGGCTCCTCAGTACAAGAGATACAAGGAGGTACTGGAGAGGGTCCAGCAGAGGGTCACAAAGATAATTTGGGGTTTGAAACATCTCTTATATGAGGAGAGACTGCAGGAACTGAGCCTCTTTAGTCTGGAGAAGCCTGAGGGGATTCATCAACACATGTAAATATCCCAAAGGTGGGTGCCAAGAGGATAGTGCCAGATTCTTCAGTGGTGCCCAGTGACTGGATGAACCATGGCCATAAACTAAAACACAGGAAATTCCACCTCAGCATGGGAAAGAACTTTACATTTAGGGTGGCAGAGCGCTGGAGTAGGCTGCCGAGGAAGGTCATGGGTTCTCCCTCTCTTGAGGCATTCAAAACCTGTCTGGACACGTTCCTGTGTCACCTGCTCCAGGTGACCTAGAGGGACGATGATCTCCAGATGTCTGTGCAGAAAGTCACCAGTTCCCCAGCTAGGGTCTGGGAATGCAGGTGCTGGCCATGCAATTGTGGTTTGCTGGAGCTCCAGTCCCTAAGACATGTTACAGAGGCCTCTAGTGAGATGCAGGGGTTTGGTGTTGGAAAATGCAAGAAGACTAACGTGGCATAGTTTGTGAACTTACATCAATGAAATAATTCAGTACCTGTTGCTTTTAAGTTACTTGGCCCCAGCTAAGGAGTAATAAATACTAGACATTGACTACATTAAAGGTATTGCTACAGTAGCATCCTATAGCAGGAAATCACATCTTTGTGAAACTTGGACCAAAAAAACCTCAAACACAACTTAAAACTGCATTGCCAAATTAGGCATTCTCCCAAAATATCCTTGCCTCTCAGGAAATTCAAGATGTCTTTTCCTGTTTTGGTGTAAAGTATGCATGTGGCTGAACTGTAGAATCAAATGTCCTTTTTTGCTTGGATGAGAACAGATGTTTCCCACAGTATTCTGAATCACAAGATGATTTCCTGGTTCCGTCTGCTCTTGGGATAACCTCTCAACACCCTTTGTGGATTGGTTCAGCTAGTACTAAAAAAAAGTGTAACACAGCATGGCAGGCTCCAAAACACTTAACATTTTTACTAAAGTAATTGAAAACCTGCTAAGAGACCTTAAAATAGGAATACCAGAGATTAGCTGAAGGGAATTCCAGGTTTTGCCTGATCTAGAGCTTTTGTTTGTTGCAGATGAAAATGATTCCAGGCATATTCAAGTATTAAGCCTTTCTTTAGTCGCACATGTTCCCTTGCCCATTGGTTGTGACGCTACAAGGCTTCTGCTGCAGCTGAACACTTGGGCAGGTGCCTGTGCCACATTGTCTTGTTGACTGGCAGAGTGAGGGACATCACGCAGTAGAATCCTGCACTGCCGTCAAGAAGGGATTTTAAGCAGAAATTAGATCAAAGAGCAAGGAGATATTCCTCATCTGAGCTGTTCACAGTTTACAGGTATAGCTCGTGCTGACTGTATCATTACATGAATAGACTTTGTACCACAGTAGCTCAGCTTCTACCTGGTTATAGCTAGCAGAAGTTTACTAGTTAGAGGAATTTGTGTTATTTACTGAAGTATACTTGTTGTAAGTGGCAAGAATAGTAAAAATGTATAGCAAATAACTTGGAAGTTATTGAAAGTTCTTAACTAAGCAAGGAGGGAACTTTAACAAAGTATGTTTTTATTTTCATGTTAATTTTGGTGCAGATAACAGGAATATGGGATCTCATTTGCCAGAACTGAAAGGGTCCAGATGGAAAATACCCTAAGCCAGAACAACATGCATATGGGTTCTCGTCAGATAGTTGAGAGCAAAGCTTATATACAGTGCATGGAAAATGAAAATGATACAGCAAAGAATTTCGAGTTCTTAATCTTCTTAGCCTGACTGATTTTTAAAAATACTTCTTTCTTTCCTCTTGCTTTTCCTTTTCTTTCCCACTTTCTTCCACCTGTATTTTTATTTCTGCTTTCTAAAAGGGAAAAATAAACACCTGTGCAACCTTTTTTCATTAGTTGCTGATATTAAAGAACAAAATTCAGTGTGTTTATTAGACCAGCTTAATTTTTATGCCACTTCATTTTGCTCACCTACGATGACTAGTGTTTACTGCAGAAGTTCAGCTAAATTCCCAACTTTGACTAGGCAGCATCAATTCAGTATTTTTTTCCTAGTTGATATAACCAATGCAAAGCCATCTAAAATGGCTACAAACTAACAAACAAAATTAAAATGGACATGCAGTGACCAAACAGTATTTTGAATCAAGTGAAAATAGTGGCTCACATCCAGTTGAATCAAATTAAGAATTTTAGCAAAAGGTTTTGAACCAGTTTGGCTGAATTCTGTTTAATGTTTTACCTGATATTAAAGACACAATCTTGACTTTAGATGAAGCCTCAGGTGGTCCAATGACAGTAAAACTTATATACAATATCTCCAAAGCTCTGCTGTAAATGATGCATAACATTCTTTGTATTTCTGAATATTCAAACCTAAACATAATACAGACACCTGTGATTTATTTTTAATGTAAAATATATAGACTTCTACTTTCATATGTCATTAAAGAGATATTCTATATATTTTTTTCCATTCCTGATTTGCCAGAACAAAGGTTAGGGCTTTTGATTTAGACTCATTTAAAGGGGTTGAATTAAAAAAGCTTCATGCTAAAGCATAACTGGCCAGACAGCAATTATCTACCCAATTATTGTCTACCCAGTTACACCTTAGGGGGCTTTATACCCAGTTATGCTTTATAGGGGCCTCACTGTGCAGATTCTCTGCCTTTAGTACAGCAAATCTCAAGCACATGCCCTTGTTTGGTCTCAGCCAGAAAGCAGCATCCTTGTCAGGTCTTCAATAATTCTAATAAATGAAATTATCTTGTCTCACTTTCAGTGGGATTTGTTTTTTTGGTGATTGCTTTTCGAGTTCTTACAAAGAATCACACATTCAGAAGTCCAGGAAAAAGAATAATCCTTTTCACTATCCCAATCCATTAGCAGGTATTTTCCCAAATTTTGCCCTAACCTGAGATATTTTTGTTAGTTTGATTCATAAAAATAATATTTAAAGTTTTGTAGTTGTCTTTAGTCATATCCATCCCAGAATTCTCTTCTCCAGTTCCTCTCTATATGTACACTGTGCTTTGGTCTTTCCAACAAGCCTCCTTGTCTCCCTAGACTCTGTTATGTGGAACTTTTTGTTTCACTGGGAAAGTTCCTATCATTTCAGAACTTTAACTGCGTATTTAAAGGTAGCACTAAATCTATGCAGTCTGAACTCAGTGTTCAGTAAATGAGAGTCTTTTGCTCTTCATCTTTATTCTGGCTTTCTCACCTCACCCTTAGTTATGAGGGTTAGATTTCTTTTTTTTTTTAGTTAAACTTTTTGAAAAAGAAAGGTTTTATTGTGTTGTGACACAATTTACAGCTTATTTCAAAGTAACTAGAACAGATACAAAATAGTGTTGAACATTTGTACAGGAAATCAAAATAATAACAAAGCTGTCTAGTGCCAGTTTACATACAGTCACATGCTAAAGTGACTCATTGTGAGAAATAATATTGAAACAACTGCTGAATTTTCCGAAGAAAGCATAAGAGGGGTATCCTTCCTGAAACAAAGTGCAACAGAAAAAAAAAAAGAAAGAAAAGCTTTGTCTTTGTGAACATTCAGTCATTACAAATGTAAAAGGAACTAGATATGAGAAAATGCTTTTTTGCCCCCCAAGAGACATAGAAAGAATTTAAGAGTAAGAACAACATAGAAGGGGAAAAAATCAGCTGATTGAAGAATTTCTGTGTAATTAAGACTAATTCTATACTAGACAGGCTAATACAGCAAGTAGGGAATTGGGAAAGGAGTTGTGTTGCATAAGAACTATATTCAGCATTATCCAAGTTAGAAACGTATGTGTTTCTTTCACACTTAAAAACTGGTTTGTATGGACTTTTTTATGATGGTATCAACAGGCACTTGTAACATTCAATTTTGGTTTCATTTAAATAGAACTCCTCTTAATTAGTAAGCATAATACAAACTAATTTTTAAGTATGTCAAACTCAATAGCACAAGAAACAACACAAGGTAGTTCTACAGTGGGGGATGACAGGGCAGGGGAGTGGGCAAAGCTTTAAATAAATGCCCTGAAAGAAAAAGAACATCAATCTAAATCTGTCAAATAGGGATAGGTGGACAAATTAAAACTTAAGGGAAGACAAATTTATAGAATAGCAGGTAATCAGTCTTATGGATTTTGACTTCTATTTTATAATATAGAATAATCAAATTACTCTCTCTAAAAATTATCTAGCAATTTAATGGTACCTTGAAATAGACTAATTAGTTTTTGTGGAAAGATAAATATCCCAGATTTCCTAATTCAAAATTTGTTACAAATACAAACATGTTGGAAAAGAAGTCACATCTCCAAGTTACAGGCACCACTGATTTGATTAAATAAAAGTCATGTTCTTGTAATCTTTGTAAGTATTTTCTGTAGTGCTGGAGATAACGAAAACATATAGCACCTCTCCAGATGAAGGGACTTTTCTTTGAATCAGACTGTAACAAGCCAGA